TCTCTCTCTCTCTCTCTCTCTCTCTTTTTGTTGTTGTTGTTGTTGTTGGTGGTGGTGGTGGTACCAGGGATGGGACTCGGGACCTTGTGCTTGCAAGGCAGTGGAACAAACCACTGAGCTAAATCCCTGGCTGTCTTTCTCTTTTTTAAATCCTGTTGCTCTACCCTTAGTCAGGTGATTGTTTGGGGTCTGATTAGCCTCCAATGATTAGTCCTCTGGAAAGATCAGAAGACAAATGAAGAAGGAAGAGAAAGAGAAGAGAAAGCAAAAGTTTTTAGCCTTTTATAGAAGAGATTCAGGAAATATGGAGAAGTTTGTAAGTGTTGGATTACATTTCAGGTCCAGGAAATATGGAGTTTATAAGTGTTGGATTACATTTCATGCTTATTCATTGAATCTATTTTTTAAAAATTGTACATTACAAAAATTCTTTTTTTTCCTTTTTTGTGGTGCTAGAATTGAAGCTAGGACCTCACGCACACTACTGTTGAGCTGTGTCCCTGTCCTAGCTAAATCAGAGTCTGAAGGCTGCATAACCACAGGGTATTCACAGAACCAACAAGCTCTATCAGCTTTACTTAATGACTTTCCATGAAGGGAACAAAATAAATGTCTTTTTAACAAACAAAATTTATAAATCTTCTTATGCAAAAGAATACGACAAAGGCAGAAGTAGTGTGTAGATAGTTGTATTTGGATATTCAGTGTATGTCTTTGGAGCATCTTCTGTCTGTTAGCATTTAGCTGTTAGGTATCTGTTACCTAATCTTTCCTGGAGCCCCGAAATACATGTATTATCACCATTTAAAGAATGAGGAAACAAATTTACCAAAGTTAATTGCCTTGCTGTGGCAGAATCCAGAATTTCAATATGAAACTCTTAGTTACAAAACAGAAAATTATACTGAGTGAATTGAAGCTTTTTCCTGTTAATGAAATTGTTCTAAGAAGCTAGATTTTAATACTGTCTTAAATTTTTAATTTTCTTTAAATAGTTGTAAAATTTTGTTATTAAAGTTAAGAGTGGGCCAGGGGTTTGGCTCAGTGGTTCCACTGCCTGCCTCCCAAGTGCAAGGGCTTAAGTTTGATCCCCGGTACCAAAAAAAAAAAAAAACAAGAGTGATAAGCCTTCTTTTGTCTTAACTGATATATTTCTGTCATAGACACTTACTGATATATTTTTATAAAACTGACATCTAGCTTTTAAACCAGAAAAACAACTGTACCAGGAGGATGTTTATTACCTAGTTATTGTTCACTAAAGTGATGGGTCCATTCCTTTCTGAACACTTTAAGGTAAAATGAGAAGACATTTATGAGTCTACTTTGCATTTTTTGGGACACATACCATCTAATTTCATCTGCATTGTACATTGCAAATAATCATAGTTTGAAATTAGAATTTTTACTTTGAGCTATACCTACCTGTAGGGTGGTTTTCTTTTTTCCTTTCTCATAAATAGCTGTATCCATCTGAAGAGACAAGAGTTAAAAGGTTTGAATACTTAATACATTTTAGATAAAACATGCAAGGATTTAAGCAAGGATTTTATACAAATCAGTGATCTAAATTAGTAAGCATTCATTCACTCATATAAATGCTTCACATCTCACTTTTAAAATGTTTTCAGTAAATGCTTGAAGGCCATCAATCAAGAAATCAGCCTTATTCTAATCTCTTTTCATTCAGATTTGTTAAAAGAGTCTTAGTAAATGCTTTTTGAGTTATGTGGTGACATTATTTTATGCTTATTTGAAAATTTTTGCATCAATATTGTTTTCCCAAATCATTAAGAATTGTCTTTACATGCTGGACACGGTGGCACACGCCTGTAATCCCAGCACTCGGGAGGCTGAGGCAGGAGGATAGCTGTGAGTTCAAGACCAGCATGAACTACATAGTGAGTTCCAGGTCAGTCTCAAATACATAGTGAGACCCTATCCAAAAAAACCAAAAAAACCCATAGAATTGTCTTTACAGGGTATGGAATCTCATTCACCTTGAAAAAAATTAGGTTACATTAACAATGCAAAGTAAAAAAAAAAATTACATTCTGTTCATAATAAAATCTGTTAATCCAATTACATTTTAAGTAGAAACCAATTCCCAATGCTGGGGAACTATAAAACAATGCAAGCATGATCACCAACGGTGTTAAACTTTCCTAAAGAATTAGAGTGTTTTCCCCTACCTTGTATCATTTTCCTTTGTATTTTGACTTTTTGTTTGTTTGTTTGTTGGTACATTTTAGGTATACAATATGATCTTATTTATCATTGGGAATTTGTACCTATACATGATATGGTTCTTTTTATTTCCCATTCTCCTGTCCTCCCTTCAACCCCTCCATCTCTCCCTATTTGCATAAGCCTTGTTTCTGTTTTTTTCATTTTTTCATTTTTTTTCTTTCCTTTCCCCTGCCCTCCTCCTTAGATCCCCTTCCCCTTTAAACTAGAGACATTTATAGCTATATGAATGCACCTTGAGGCCATACTCTTAAATGAAATAAATAGGACACACTAAATACAGAATAATTTCTCTGATGTGAGAAGCTGAAAGTATAAATGAGGACCAAAATACATAACAGATATTGTATATTTTGACTTTTTAACTTTGCTTGGTTACTTGCCGGGTGACAGTTTCTGATTCATATAAGAGGTACATAATTGTTTCTTTTCTGTAGAACAACTTTGTGAGACAAAGTACTGTCTTTAAAGAATAGTGTCTAGTTCCACATTTCTAACCTTGTATCAGAAAACTCATCTATTATATTGCTAGTTGTATTTCCTATTCTTTGGTCTTTTTTATTTAAACATTGGAGAATTTTGTGTTTACCTATTAG